AGTGTCAATTGTTATATTTTTTCATAGAACCTCCACAATGTGAAGGGTATTTCATTTTCCCGGCATATATGAAGGTGACGCAATTGTCACGAATTTTCTATGCAAAAAAAAAAAACAAGATAAAATAACACACCTTTTTGTCTACCGAATCGAAATCAATTATGTCACAACATGATTACGTGAATGTGAGCAAGAGTTAAGTAGTCATGTCATCCGATTAAAGGTCGTAATTACAACAACTATCGGCTAGTTTCCATCGCGCATTCATATTATCAAATTCTTTCCGAGTACAAATAATTGGAAATAGAAAACAGTAGCCAAGGTGGCTACTTAAATGGGTATGCAAAATAAATTTTGTAATTAAAAAGTTGAAAAGACATTGAGCCGAATGTATTGTATTTTATTTAAGTGCCCTACACACAGCTGTAAAGTGTTACAAATTCTCATTCATATGTTACTCTTGATTTGATTTTCAAACTCTACTCCAAGAAAGTATTTAAATCTATGTGTCTGCAGGAATTTTAATTAGGACGCCGAAATTCCCAACTATCTACAAAATAACAAAAATCACAGCGAATATCTAAGTATAATAAAGTGCTTACCCTGTTTACATACATATTTGTTTTCTTTTACGCCCAGTTAATCATCACTTTTTTCAAATGGAGGCGTTCGCGTGCTGTTTTGTTTGATATATCATAAATGGTAATGTGACAAATATTTTTCCAAACGTATTTATTTATTTTAATATCAAATACATGTTCTTACAATAGGAATATAAAATGTAGATTTTTATAACTTTTTGGGGCTGAATGGGTATAATCATACAACTCATTAAGAATAGTTTTTAAGGGAACGTCCGTTCTCCACGTTTTTAAAAGTCCAATATTTTTATACCCTACACAACTATGTTGTCAGGGTATTATAGCTTTGTGCAGCCCCAAATGTTTGTAACGCCGCGAAATATTGGTCCTAGACCCACCTTTAAGTATACCGATCGTCATATCTCGACTAGCTGAGTCGATCTAGACATGTGTGTCCGTCCGTCCGTCTGTCCATTATAATTTGTAAACACGATATAGGCCACAGTTATGGACCAAACTTCACGAAATTTTGCATGTAGGATGGGTTCTGGCCAATGAAGACCCCTATTGTTTTTGGAAAAGATCGGTTAATATTTAGAGGATGAAATGGACCAAAAACATTATTTTTGTCGGTTTTTCTGGTCGCTCCAGAGGCCGCAATTATGGCCCAAACACCGCGAATTTTTGCATGGAGAAGGGGATCGGGCCAGAGAATAAGCATGCATGTTTTGATAAAGATCGGTCAATATTTAGCGGGTCAAATGGACCCTGACTTTTGTGTGAAAAATGACAAAATTTGTATTCTATGGCATATATATTTACTCCTGGAGGATGTAGACCCCAGGAGTTGATAGCATATCCAAGAGGAGTGGTTTTCCTTTAAATTGATGTGGGAGTTACAGTCAAATATTTACAGGTGCTTACGTATTCAGATATTATTTAGTAACCCATTACCACATTAGAGGGAGAAATATCGCGCTGATGGCTTTGAAATTCTTCATGAAGTTCCAGTTATGGTCAAGAACAACGCCTACAATTTTCGGTGATGATCATATTAAAATTTTGGGATGAAATGGACCGAAAACATAATTTTTTGTGTGTTTTCGAGTAGAGTATAATCCGAAAATCTCAACACAACCTACCGTGAAGGTAATCTGGACAAGTAAATAGAAGGATTGTACTGAATATTCGAAAAAAGTAAGGAAGAGGTGTTGTTAACCTCTAATCGGACAAGAGGGGGCAAATATCACGAAATATTACTCAGACTCGGAATAAACATCCTCAGAAAGTTAGAGTTCGTGGTAGTTGTGTAGGGTATCGCATGGTCGGCCCCGTCCGACTATACTGCTCCGCTCACTGGTTATTATTTAAATAAAACGAAATCTTTTGAAGATGTAACCGATTTAAGTCGTCGTATTCAAACAGCAGTTCTTCTCAAACTTTATATGACTATTTTTCAAACAGTGTTTTTACGAATGGTTATCTTATCGGTTCCAAATGTTAATGCTTTGTTCTGTACGTACACAGAAATCGCATGATCTAGGATAAATCTAAACGGAAGTCTTCCTTATTTTTTAACTTGGTTGGTTGATGAATATATATATATGAGTTTTAAAATTTCTATTTTTTCTTTTTGTGATCCGATGATTTTATTTAGTATAAAGTATCAATCAAACAATTTCCGATTTATGCTCGTTGGAAGGGTGAAATTTCGCCGTAAAAAAATAGCAAACAAATTTTTTAATGGAAGGGAACAATGAGAAACTTCGGTACATTTTACAGTTTTTCTCTGACAAAGGCGAAAATGCAACTCAAGCAGCTAATATTTTGAATGGTGTTTATGGTCCCGATACTGTAACAGTCAATTATGTGCAATTTTGGTTTCGTAGATTCTGTTCAGGAATTTTTGATGTTAAAGATGCACTTCGCACAGGTAGGCCGGTCGTCGAAAATGTCAATAAAATGGGAGAAATGATCGAACTTGACCGGCATGTTAGCAGTCGTAACATCGCCCCAAAAGCTAAACATTGACCATAACTGTTGTAAAACATTAAAAAAAAACAGTAATGAAAGTAGTAAAGTCGGACTGGGCCGACTATATGATACCCTTCACCACTTTGGGGATATTCTACATATGTATCTTTACAGATGTCGTCTTTTCAAAGGATGCGATGGACCCAATTCAGTACCCTATGCGAAATTCGTACAAATCGAAAGATATATAGGGACTTTGGAGACCACAGGCAACAAAATGTTTTAGAGCTTATATTTAATATACATCTAGTAGATATATATTCTGTGGATTTTGTACGTCTAGACCTGATTACGGACAACATATATCAAAAGAAAAATCTTAAAAATTCAAATTCTTGGTGAAGTTATGAGCTTTTCAATATAGAGAAGAATGCAAAAATGTGTACAGTACTAATTTGTGTATACAGTCCAAATTATTTAAATCGCTTCGTATTCGAAATTTACGAATTCTGCCATCAGAATTATTTTTGATTCTTGTAAAAAAAATATATAGGATAATTTGCGAAGAATTTTACTTCGATTTTGCATTTGGTTTTCTTGATATTGGGCTTTTGCAAGGATGTAGCTATGTCAAATTTTGTCCATATCCTATCTTGGATAGTTGCATTAAATTTGTGAACAGAAAATAGTTTTTTGATTAGGGAAAAATATTCGGGCCTCAAAGGGTTAAATCGGACGAAAATATATATGGGAGCTATATATAAACACGTCATTATTGACCTAATTCAGTACTTTATGTCAATTTCGTGCAAATCGAAAGATATATAGGGACTTTGGTTTACCTTAAATCGGACGAAAATATATATGGGAGCTATATATAAATCTGAACCGATTTTTCCCAATTTCAATAGGGTTTGTCCTTGGGCCAAATAAGTGACTTGTGCCAAATTTCATTCAATCGGATCATAAATGCGACCTGTACTTTGTTACCAAAGTGATTCTATGCATATTCTCAAAAGGAACCATGGGTCTATCTCGTTTACTTTTGACTGTTACAAACATATGCACAAAGACATAATGATGGATTTTTCCCTAACCTAATATCATAAATACCAGAATCGTCTTTTCTGCAGTATGACGTCCCTTACACAATATCAACATCTAAAAAAATATTGGTCCAAGTCTCAATTTTTTAGTATACCTAGTCCACTATATCTTCCATGTATAATATGTAAATTCATTATCGGAGACCCCTATTCCGACTTCGGAAGAGAGCAACTAATAAAACATTTGTATGTGTTACAAAAAATAATAAATATCGATCATAGGGAATAGCCCTAACCTCTTTATATGGGGTAATAGGCCATTTTTCCAACCGAAGCGATTTTACATTCCGGGTTCTTGGCGACTAAAGAATTACTTTATAGGATACACTGCGACAATTTATATAGGTCGTGATCTAATATTAAGAACCCAGCATGCCAAATTCGAAATAGGTCAAGTTTTGTTTTGTTTACGGCTATTGCAGTTATTTTTCTTAGAGAACGCATCTCCAGTCATATCAAATGAGAAATGTTTTTGTAAAACATATCCTCTTTCTAGCACCAGTCCTTGTGCGTTTTTCTTCGTCCTTATTTTGTTGTACTGTAATCTAAATACAACATTCCACATATTATACAAAAATATCGCTTATAAAATCTTAGATAGGACCCTCAAAGACAACAAATCGATCGCTCATAATCACAATAATTTGAACGATTTTCTGAAAATGCGGTTCAGAAAATAAATATTTTTTTATTAACATGTATTTAAAAAATGAGAATTATGGTAAATATTTTGGATTAATCCGACAGTTTTTTTTTAAATTCAAATTATTTCTGCATACAGTTTAATCGATTTTTTTAGTGTTCGCAGATATAAGGTTTTCTAAGCTTTATTTATTGCGAAAAATGTTCAGGTCCATCTTCGCGAATTCTATGCGCCGTATATTTTGTTCAATATTCGCAGATTTTTAAGACACGTTCACCTTGTTGTAATAAAAGATTATTTTTTTAATAGGTAAACTTTTTTATTCAAATTGTCATCTTAGTAAATAAAAATAGAACAAAAAATAATTCATTATTATTAAAATTGCTATTATAAGACAGGAGTGCGTTTTGAGTTAGTTGTGGCTAATAATCACAATAATTTCCACGATTTTCGCCAAAGAAATATAGGTTTTAAAACGCTAGATAAACACTTATTTGGTAAAAAAGATGTGACAAAAGTTATTTAACATAAAAATATTGGCAATTAATAAACATATCTTCAACCACACATTATATTATGACAAATTTCATTATTTAATTTATTAATTTTTAATATTTTTTCGTTCGTTTGTTTTCGCAGTAAAATGGTTTTTGGTAGTTTTATTGTTTTTGTTTTAAGAGTAAAGTATTCATTTTGTTGAACTTAATGTTTTAAACTCAAATAGGGTAGACCCATTTGTCTCACATAAACACTACGTTCGGCCGTGGAACATGGTGGACATCTAACTATGAGGATGCCATCCGAACTCAGTTCAGCCCGTACATCATTGGGATAATAGCCACGGGGCAATATGAAACGTTTGACAATGTGGCGACCCACAAAACTATCACCGTCTCGGCGTTTTTCATGTTTAGCCTCAACTATGACGGTATCGCCTGATGTTTTCACTGTGATTTCATAGGGCTTAAATGGTCCCACATCAATATTGGCCTCAAAGCCATCTTTGCCCACCACCACACGACTGAGATCAGGAGCTGAACCGACACGATTTAAACGTCTGTAGTAGGGTACATCCCAATCGACTAGATCCCAATCACGCCACAAACGACGACGCTGATCCCAATAATCCCATTCATTTAGTGTATTGCTTGAGGGTACTAAAGCCATTATCCACAATCAGAGGTAATCCACAGAGGTAAAATAAATCCTTTGCTTTTGAAAATTAATTTCAGTAATTCAGCAACACTCGCTTTCGAAACGTTTACACGCTTGAGTGATCTCTCGATATGTTAACTAGTATCGCGATTTTTTGCAAATAAACTGGCATTCAGAAGTTGAATCGCTTTTTATAGAATCGGTACATTTGCCAATGACAGCGGGGCGGCACAACAAAAGCGGAGCGCCCAAACCCAAAAGTATTTATTTATTTTTTTTTAATTTCTATCTAAGCCCAGATATTGGCTTTGCCATATTTTACTCTGGCAGCGAAATGCGACCTAACAAATCTAATGTTGTACGTTAAACGTTGTTACGTTTCGGCCTGGTTTCTGTCAGTGAGTGTGGGTTCTTCTCGTTCGCTGATTTTGGTCAATTGTCAGGCGTCAGTTGTTCTATATTTCTAGATTGAAATTATTGTTGTTATTTCATTTAATGTTGTTGTTGTTGTATTGCAGTGGTAACAACAACGACAACTATTTCGACTTTCTTTCCACACAGGAAATCTTGTAAAACGAACTGAGTCGAACTCAGTGTTAGCCCAACAGCTACAAATAATCAAAACAACAAAAAGAATAGTTGATTGACCACATGAGAGTTTTTACTAAACTTGGTCACAACGATAGCTACAGCCCGACCTACCAACACACCATCACAATGTCACTGCCACTTAATATAGAATTTATTTTGGTTTCAATTTAATTTAATTATTCTACGTCTTAGTTTATCCACAACGGAAATAAGGCATTACATTTTGGAGAAGGCAGTGACGTTTTAATTCAATGTGTCTTTTCAAAATAAAATTAAAATGTTTAATTTATTTTTATTAATACAAAATTGGAAAATATTTTAATAAGTAAAAAAGAACCTACGGTTTGCGGAGGTCTAAAACGAGTTGACCGTCTGTGGAGACGTACCAGAAGCGGTTGCTCTATGGACCCAATCTTCGGATTTAAAGTAGCTTTTGTAAAATATGATCATGTGCAAACAATGAATTAAATCGGTTATTCAATTCGTTTCAAATTAAATTTACACTTCTGTAAAATAATGACCCTGTGTGGGAGAGATACCAAAAGGAGGGAACCGACAGCTCACACACACACATACGGTGTGCAACATTTCAATGAAATTGGAATGTTTTTAAATGTTGAACCTTTGTGGGGAGGTACTAGAAGGAGTGGACCGATAAGTTCCATCTTACAACAATATACAGGCATGGAAAAATATTAGGTTGTGCATAATATTATAAAATTAATTTTCAGCAAAATGTTGACCATTTTGTGTGGGAGGTACAAGAAGGAGTATACCGATAAAGGCCAACTTCGAACTTGATTTAAGAAAAAAATATTTCTATGTGCAAAGTTTGGGTGGAATCGGCTACTCCCTTCGAGAGTAATAGTGTTCACCAGACATACACACAGGCCGACGGACGGACGGAAGAATGGACATTTGGTCCAAAGAAACGTGGAGTCTAAAACCAATATTTCGATGATACACATTTTGACAAAGTGGATATCCCCTCATTAGCCATAAGGCATAGCAAGGCGAACTCGATACGTTATTATACCCTCAGCCTTATAGCTATTGAGGGTATATACACTTTGATATGGTGAAAATGTGCCTCATCGAAATATTGGTTTTAGACCCCATGTTTCTTTGGACGAAATCCGTTTCAGAAAATTTGGAGTCTATTTACACATGTCCGTCCATCCAAAGTCCTTCTGTCTGGCTGGTGCGCATGATAACTCTCGAAGCAGCAACCGATTTCATTCATTTGCACATCTTAATATTTCTTCCAAACTTAGTTTAAGATCGAAGATGGAAAATATCGGTCCACTCCTTCTAGAACCTCCTCCATAAAATTGTCAAAATTTTGATAAATATTAATTTTATAATAACATGCAAACGGACTATCCGATTTTAATGAAACTTTGTACAGCCTATTATCTCTGCCAATCCTATATCACGTATGAAGATGGGACACATTGCTCCACTCCGTCTAGTACATTCCCCGCAAATGGTAAAAATTGTCAATATTTTTAAATTCAATATCAGGCGAATGGCATGTCCGATGTGAACCAAACTTTGCACAACCCATTATTATTACGAAGTCTAGATTAAGTCCGAAGATGGGACTTATTGGTCCACTCCTTCTGGTACCTCCCCCACAAATGGTAAAAATTTTCAATATTAGTAAATCCAATATCAGGCGAATGGAATGTCTGCTTTGAACCAAACTTTACACGACCTATTATCTTTACCAAGAATAGATCATGGTCCACTCCTTCTGGTACCTTCCCTACAAATTGTCAAAATTTTCAATATTTATAAATGTCATATCAGGCGAATCGAAATTTCAGATTTTAAGCAAACCTATTATCTTTACCAAACCTACATCAAGTCCGAAGATGGGAACCATTGGTCCCCTCGTTATGGTCAAAATGTTCAATATTTGCAAATCCAATATCAGGCGAATGGAAGGTCCGATATGAACTATACTTGGCACAACCCTTCTTTACGACCTATCTTTACGAAGTCTAGATTAAGTCCAGAGATGGGACCCATTGGTCCACTCTTTCTAGTACCTCCCCCACGAATGGTCAAAAGTTTCAATATTTATAAATGCAATATCAGGCGAATGGAATGTCATATTTCAACCAAACCTTGCACAACCTATTATTTTCACCAACCCTATATATCAATTCCGAAGATGGGACCCATTAGTCCACTCCATCAGGTAACTCCCTCACAAATGGTCAATATTTTATAAAATTTTATAAACATTAAATTCGAAACATCTTTGATAAAAACATATTTCTTATATAAAGCTGATATCTGTGTGTAATTCCGAATACCTCCGCAAACCATATCTGTCGGCAATACCGACTGACACTTTTTTACTTGTTTTGGGCTCAATTCAAAATGCTATGAGTTTTCTTATATAACATAAGTTTATACATGTTCTAACATATGCCCGATATGTGGGAAATTTTAAAACATATGTCTGAAGAGCTTATCAACCTACACTCCTAGGTCTAGAATCATACATTTTTAGTACTATTTACTACCTTTGTACTCATATAATACGTATTTCCAAAAGCACGTACACACCTCAACACTACACGCAAATTCTAACCTCACATTTGGTACCATTTATTACCTTTTGTACAACACAATTTAGTACACATTAATACGAATTTCCAAATCTCCGATATATCCCAATTCTGCACCCCAACACTGACCGAACTTAAAATGTCAGTATTCTTCTTTAGGAGTTTACCCAGAATTAGGTACCATTTAGGAATTAGTAAAAAAGCTAGAATTTGCAATTTCCGTGTTCCGTTTTCGTATACATAAGTACACGTTACCAAATGTACCTCCTTATATCGACCCTTGATCCAACCTTGATTCGCATTCCAAGTTTTTAGGTTTTTGCGTTCACATGCTAATAAAGTATATATATTCTTGATCAGGGTAAAATTCTAAGACGATCTAGCCATGTCCGTCCGTCTGTTGTAATCACGCATTCTTCTGAAGGAATTGAGAAATTTTGCATAGGGATGTCTTTTGTCTGCAGGCAGGTCAAGTTCGAAGATGGGATATATCGGTTCACGTTTGGGCATAGCTCCCATATAACATTACCCCCCAATTTTCGGTATTTTGGGGTTCTTGAGCGAGTTTTTCAACCGAATACGCTGAAATTTCATACATTGAGTTCTTATTGGGTACTTAATGTCCCTACAAAAAATTATAAATATAGGTCCACTTTTTCTGGTAGCCCCCATATAACGGTACCTCCTAATTTCCAGTATTTTGGGAAGTTTTGATCGTATTTTTCCACCGAATTGGCTGTAATTTAGTATTTCGAGTTCTTAATAGGTACCAAATCTCTCCACATAAAATTATAAATATAGGTTATTTTTTCGGATATCCCCCATAAAAGGGTACCCCCAATTTTCGGTATTTTGGGGTTCTTGAGCGCGTTTTTCAACCGAATAGTCTGAAATTTGGTACATTGAGTTCTTAATAGGTACCAAATCTCTCCAAAAAAAAAGTTATCTGATTTGTTGCGCGTTTTGAGTTTGGTTCTAAGACCCTTTTGTAATCATATCAACTGAGGAGGATAGAGAGATAAAAAAATTAGAAAGTAAAGTTTGGTAATGAACTATAGCCGCATTTAGACCTAGCCCCTGATTGGAAGTTCCAGAAGGAGTGGACCGATATTCCCCATCTTCATGTGTCCAAAGAAACATGGGGTCTAGAACCAATATTTCGATGAGGCACATTTCCATCGTGTTAAAGTGTATACACCCTCATTAGCCAGAAGGCTGAGGGTATAATTATCCTTTAAAAATTTCTAAAATTGTTATTATGGTTTACATAATCCGTTTTTAGAAATGTCCGTATAGGTCCACTTTTTGGTATGTTCCCTATATTTTCATTTATAGTACCTGTCAGTATATCTATGGTGGAGGGTATCCAAAGTTCGGCCGGGCCGAACTTAACGCTTTTTCACTTGTTTTTTAATTGGTTAGTTATTTCCAGAGTTATTTGCATTTGAATTCAACGATGTTTCTTAATATACTTCCTGTTGGGTGCTGTGCGCCGAAACCCGAAATTTGATCTTGTAAAAATGGAGATTTATGTGTAAATATAACTATACATTTTTCTTACATTATTATATAGGGTCTAATCATAACGTGGATCGATATATCCCATTTTCAAAACCAAAAATCATGCAAATAGTAGCAGTGTATGTATAAAATTCCAAATCTATATTTTGAAATCAAGTTTATATATTGTATTCATATTACACACAACATCCTTTGATTTAAATTCAATTCTATCGGCATATTTCTATTATCAATAATATTGTAAATATAATACCTCAGTATGAGACATACATACATATCGATAATAATACATAAGATATGAAAAAAACCTAACATCTGTTT